GTCACCTGGAGTAAATGATCATACCATTTCCTGTACGCTTTATTACCGTACCTCTGATGCATATCCTCCTCTGGTGGAAATTGTTCCATCCAAGCCTTAAATTATGAATGCTAATTTACATAAAAATCACACTTCGAACTAACCATCATTTTATCCAACATTTCTATAACTTTGATTGCATTTTCGCTGACACTAATATCGTCACAAGTTTTGACGTTCAGCACCGAATCATTGAGTTCATGGAGGAAGTCAAGCAGCAACTGATACCCCTGTTATGGAAAAAGATAAAATCAAATTATTTAGATCGATCCGATTCATAGCACTCTTACCTCACAAAAACAGAACGGATTCAAATCAAAAATGTGCAAAATTCGTCGAATGGGTACCTCGTAGGAGTGATTTTGTACGTCTATAGTTTTCATACCTGAAAAGAGTAAATCTTAGCCAACTTCCTTATTTTACCTAAATTTGACGGAAGAGTAGCCGCTACCTTCACTTCGCTAGTGGTCAAATCAGTAAACTGACAGTAGCGAACTAAATGGTACCATACTTACCCGCTTCGACTAGATCATCTGGCTCACCCATTCGCTGCTCGTCAGGTAACTGAGCTGACCACTAGCGAATGGGAGGTACCGGGTGAACAGGTTGAACCGGATAGGGGTGGCACGTGTCGAAAGCGACTAAGCGGGTAAATCTGGCTCCTGCCCTAGGGTACAGAGTTTAGCATCTTTTTATGGTAATTTAGTGCACTTGCACGCCTAACTTGCGCGTGGGAAAACCATGTGGAGTACAGTTTGGGCACGCGCGCCAAACTTGACCAGTTCAAATCACTTGATCCACTTTGCTATTGGTTAAATCAGTGAACTGGCCAATAACAAAGTTTATGTGGATCAAGGATCAAGCGAACATCCGCTTCGCTATTGGACTGTTCACTGGTTTGACTAATAGAGGTGTGAGAGGGTGAAATGGATCAGGTGAAGAGGGATAAGTGGACATTCGCTTTGCCACTGGCCGTCCACAGATTTGACCACTAGCAAAGTGGATCAAGTGGGTCAAGTATGGCGCGTCATACGTGGAAGGTGCGTATTTGTGGCAATTGCCGGGACCCTTCCCTTTCGGCGACATTTGGTCCTCTATCCATTCAGACTTTTGGAAAGAATATTGTGTCAGTTAGTCAATTCTAAATAGCCGATGTCAAATAGGCTGGGAAAAACAGAACCAATTGGTTCTGGTTTTGTTAACACAACCAAAGTGTTAACACTAGGCACCCAAGGTGTACCGCATTACCATAGGCAGTTGCCGGACTCAGCCGGAAACGGCTCTTTGGTTCCCTCCATTCCCATTGGTCAGATCATGAACTGACCAACAGCGAATGGAACCAGTTGAACCGGAGTCTGGCGCCTACCAAATTTTTACGCGCAAGTGAAATTGAGTGCAAGTGCACTACAGGTTTATTAGATTAGTGATTATGTTAATTAGGTTCAAAGCGAGTAGAAGAAGAGACAGAGTAAGAGAAGAAGACATCAAAAATCGAACGGTTATGGTATACATATGCGAGAACCGCTGTTTGACAGCTAGACATTTCTTATCTTTATGCATTATGGCGCATGAGAAATACATTTTCACACAAGAGATAATATGTATTGTCGAAACAAATGAGAATCGTTGAATGGAAAACTCAGAGATGTTATCAGTACAGGTTCCCAGTCAGAAAAGCAAGAGGATTATGAGAAAGATTGACTTCTGTTTGGTAAGAAGTTATAGGGAGAATATCTATGAATCAATAAAATCATAAAGAGCTCCCAATAGAGCGAGGAACCAACGACTCAAAATTCATACAACAGGACAGCTGTGCTAGAGGCAAGATCAAAAACATGTGCAAAAATCGCTCGTACATCGATTTGTGTGATCACACAATGCAGGGCATCCGACGTCCGACTTCCACTATTTACCATTTTGCAGAACAACAAGTCATTAATTAGCTATCGTTATAGTTGTTTTCGGCAGTACTTGTTCAAAATAGCTTTGTTGGATTATATTGATAAAAAGGAATTGAAACTTGTCAGACCCTGGGGGATTTCTTATGTCAAGACGTGCTATTCGAGACACTATTTTGAG